CCAATTCATGTAATTTCTCTATAGTTAAATCCATGAACTAGTCCATCTTGGTGAACTTCTGAGTACTAGTAATCACGAAAGTCATAGCCATATTTCGCAGCTCGGGCACCTGGTCACTCGACGCTGGGGCTACTGTCGGCTGCTGAATTTGTCTCTGCTATGGTTGAAAGGGTTTCCCTTATCTGGGCTAAAATGGTTGTTGCTGGTGGAACTGACCCTGTTGGATCTGGTACTGCTGACTCTAGGGAAAGCCATCCGTCATTGCTACGAAGCCAGGAGGCTTGGTGGTGTTGCTGCCAACTTAGGAGAAATTGGGATGTTGGCGTTAACCCTCATTATAAGTACCGTTGTAGGGGTTGAGGCACCGAGCATTGGCAATGAAGTCCAACTGCTCCCGTGGGGTGGTGGACTCCCGCATGGCCTAACACTCCTCCACCAAATGGTTTGAGCTTTCGCGCCACTGACACTAGGCTACTTGAGGCACCACCATACCTCTATCTAGTATGAGGCTGTTAGGCTGCTTCAATGTTTGAACCAGCTCTGCCACTACTCGTTCAAGCCCCAATCTGGTCTCCACGACATGCACACCTCTATCCCTCGTAATTTTGCCTTGTGTGATCTGCCCCCAAGAATGGTCCCGGGCGGCCAAAGTGTCGATCATCTGCTTCAACTCTGGCAGAGTCTTGGTGAGGATGTCTCACCCCGGGTACAAAGACTCGATCAACCACAAACTCTCTGGGGATAAGACAATTTAGAAGTTCCACATGGTGAATGCATCACTATAACCGTGGTGGGGACACTTCCAGAATAGTCCAGAATACCGTTCCAAAGAGTCTCTCAAGGACTCATCATCTTCCTTGCGGAAATGGGTGATCTCATGCTGACTCTCTAAAGTCTTCGAGGCCCTATAGTACTAGTGCACGAATTTGTTAGCCAGATTATCCCAGGAAGTGATGGACAGTGTCGGTCGAGTTTCTAGGCACTTCTTTGCGGGGCCCGCCAGTGAGTTGGGGAAAAGGTGATGTCGGATTGCATCATCTGGAACACCGTTCAGCGTGAAATCGTTGGTCTCAAAATTGAGCCCATGAAATTGGATGGAGGAAGTAATCAAATGAATCCAATAGGGCTTGATATCAAAATTGTTAGCAGGTATGGGAAGATACTGGATGACTGGGCGGATATCAGCAAGCCGTTGAGCGTAGAAGTATTTTGTGGTTTGCTGCGGCAGAGGTGGTTGTTGGTGGGCAGCGTCTGCCTGCAAATTGCCATTGTTATGCAGAACCTGATTCACTGGGGGAATCTGGAGAGGCATCCCCAGATGAGGCTGCCCCTGGTACAGAGGTGAATTCTTCCCCAGGTTTAGGTTGTTCAACCTGTTGTGCTAGTCTCCCATATTGTCTTCCTGCTCGGAGTCGCTGCTGGTCCAGTTGTCAACCTATTCTTCCTCCTAGCCAGTCTCGCTCGCTGTGCTTTCTTAAACTGACGAGAAGTCCGTTCAAGTTCTTGATCCAACGACAGTAATGCTCCCGACTAGCTACGACTCATGCACTACCTGCACACAAGCTGCAGGCAAACCCATGAAGGCAAAAGGGGGAGAAATAAAGAAAATAATGCAAAAGGAAATGATAAAATTACAGAAATCACGTTTCTTCAACAACCTAGCCATCCCCGGCAACGGCGCCAAAAAATTTGACTCGCGAATACCGTCACACTATAAAGTGACCAAGTGTGACCACAAACTAATGCGTAGTATTGCGGGTTTAGCTTTATTGTCAACCTGGGTCCTAGATGTGATGACTGATGACTACTCCATGAAGTTCTTGTTATCTAACAATTTGAATGTAGTGAAGTTGTAACTAATCTAAGCAAACACAAAGCAGTAAAGTTGTGATTCAAGTTCGAGACAGGTCACCTATATATGGTTCCCCTTAGATTGCAGTTAAGTCGAGTTGTAATTCACCAAGTCCATATATAATGATAGTTATATTGCGGAAGGTTCTTATTCAGTCTGAAGTCTCGACTAAAGGTCTTCAGACCCTCCCAGTCTAAATACCTGACGGGCAACTAACCTCTACCGGAGTAAACGAACTGAGGCCCTAATGTGCAAAATCTCATCTACTGGATCAAATCTAGTACAGAGCAGTAAATTGACTTCTCGGCTAAAGTAGTCAATTCACCACCTTCAATCAAGGGTGCTCTATCAACCTATGCATATATTCTCTTTCTAAGTCAAAGCATAAACTACAAGAATGTGATCAAAATTCAAGCAATTCAGAAATCATGCCTCAATTGAATATAACTATCATTATAACTCCCAAGTGAGAGAGGGAGTTTACTCCATTGAGAGAGAAGAGAAATCAGCTTCAGATGCAGAATCATCATGTGGAGGATAGAATTTAGCTTCTGGTTGTCAATCTGTGCTTCTCTAGGCTTTAATCGAGTTTCAATGGTGTCAAAACTCGATCTATGTCACCTTGGAGGAAGGGTTCATCACTTTCTCTCTCTAAAACTCAGTTTTCAACTCTAAAACTTGGATGGTAGACCAAAACCCGCAATCTGCTTGTAACACCCCGAGTTCGCGAAACCCGATCAAAATACCCGATCGGGAATTGTTAAACGACACGCATCAGTCATGGGGAAATACCCGACCTCGGGTGAAAATACCTGGTCGGGTATTTTGGGTTCCTGACAGGGGGGGTCTACTGGTCCTCCTGGGTCGACTGCCCTGTCTTCCAACCACATATACATGGTCAGGTATTTGAGTGACCGATCGGGTATTTTGCCTTCCAGCTCCTCCTTGCTGCCAACTCTCCGTTTGCGACCCAAAACTCGCTTTCAAGCCTCCCTTTTCACTCCAAGTCCTTAAATATGATATAAAAGTACAACCTACCGTGAAATCGACTTAAAACACGAGAATCAACTCTCAAACGGTTCAAGAAAAGTGGACAAAACATGTGCAAATCATAGCTTGCAAACTACCACAATTAGCTTGTCTCCTAACTTTCTAATCTCTTGGGTTGGGGTAAATGTGCATATCTTTCACCATAAGGTTATTTGTGGTTTTGCTTACATTGCTAAATACATATCTCACATGATTTGTGAGAAAATAACATAAATGATATTAACTAACTGATTGAATATTTGTAATTATACGAGTAAAATATCTCGCGTGTCACTTAAGTTTGCGAATTGGGGTAGGCATACTACTTAAATTTGAGTAGGGTGTCAGGTACCATTAAAGTTGCCAAAATGTGCATCCGTCTACTTTTCCATCCAACCTAAATTTTTAATTACTTTTTGATACCCAAAACTTTTTAAAACATCCAAAACTATATTTCAACAAGTTTTATCTAATATAATAATTAGAAAACCTTCTAAACATATTATTACTAGAATGAATAATCAAATTTTTTAATAAAATAGATAAATTAGTAAAAATAGTAAACGAATATCAAGAAGAAGAATAAATATTAGAATATAATAATAAATATTTAAAATTAATATTATAATATCTATTTAAACCCCCTAATTCAATTAGAAGTACCATGAGAAATAGTTAAAATAGTTTCACCAAAATAAAATAGTTAAAATAGAATGTAATCGATCATCAATATATCAAAATAAAAAAAGAATAAATGGAACACAATCAGAAAGAATTAAACATATTTCATTATTTGAAAAAATGTAGAACTAAAAGAGATGAAAATTAATCAAGTAATAAACAAAATATAAAAGCTACAACATTCGGTAAAAAATGTAGAAAAAAAATATGACTATAAAATCTGCAATATTTATGGAATAATTCAATTATTAGAACACATAATGATAATTGAAAATAATTATAATGATAATTGATTGTAAATTTTCTATTCAAAAATTAGTTTGATATCAAGTATTCAAAAGAAGATTCTAACTAAACAATAAAAAATAATATTTTCATAAGTCCAAATGATTTTTTACAATAAAAAAAGTAGAAGGACCAGTTATAAAATTTAGAAAACGAAATATTACAATAATATTGTGTCAACTTTAACGGAATGCACTTAACAGTAAACTTAAGTGGTATCGGGTGCACATATAATAGAGATCAGTGATACTCGACGCCCTATTCAAATTAAGTGGTATATCTACCCCAATTCTCAAACTTAAGTGGCACCCAAAGTATTTTACCTTAATTATACAAACCACGCGTTATTATCTTGAAATGAAATTGTGCATATAAAACACACATGTACATAAGGTATATGGGTGATTAAATAATTAATGAGTTATTTTTGGTTTATAAAGTTTAAGGTTAGGTTATGTGTTTTAGCTTCTTGAGCTATGTTAACATTTGTTAATGATTTTATCTGAAATTTGAGTTATGAGTGAACTCGGAATATTATCAAAACTTGGTTTATAGACTTTAAGTTTAAGGTTAGGTTATATGTTTTAGCTTCTTGAGCTATGTTAACTTTTGTTAATGATTTGATCTGAAATTTGAAATTTGAATTAAGAGTGAACTCGAAATACTATAAGAACTTGGTTGGAGGTCAGTACTCTTCAAGTTGAATTTGAACCTACTGTAAAAGTTGTTGGAATGCATCGAATAAGTCACCTAATAGTATGATTGGCAGCATTAGCAACAACATGGTGCTTCTGTAGTCGGTCAACGCGAGAGAATTTATAGGTCAAATACCCTGATTGAATTTGTAACGTTTAATATATCTATTATGCGGGTGGAACAAATCTCTAAACTGTCATCTAATTCTCATGCATTGAAAATTAACTTTGCACGAAATATTATAACTTTGCACTGAATGTCATATGCAATTATACACAATCACAAAGTTGGATAGGAACCAGAATGTATTCGCCAGCAACAAAGCCTATGCAGCAATAACTCTGTCTATGCAGCCCTTAGTTACATGAGATAGAGAGATAGCATAGAGTGCCACTTGTTAGCTAGCAATCAGCATCGAATCGGCTTGAACTCTATAAAAATTGAGTGTGTTCAGCTAAATAAATTAAGGCATTTATTGAACACATCTTCTACAATTTTTTATTAGGGCATATTGTACTTCGCATTTCTCAAACTGAACAAGGACCCAATTAAACCCACCTAAAACCAAGGTTTAGGAAACCCTACTGTATCAGCCTGTTGGACTGGAAATACCGGATACCGGACCCAAAACGGTAGGCGGTTTTAGCGATAGGAAACAGTTCAATCACGGTTAAACCACAATTTTTAGTACAAAATACCATACCATTCACTTTTCTGATATAATCTCCTGTACGGTTTCCGCCCAAGACCCACTTAACCTCCACACTAGCTGCGAGTTATTCCTCTTCTTTCTTTCTTATTGATCCTTTCCAGATTTCTTCCTAGCGGGTAAAACAATCTCGCCCTTGAGCACAGGGAAATGCATAATCTGCATCAGCTTCACGAACTTCTTCCGTAACTTGTCGACTTGCTCGACTTCCACGAGCACGCCAAAGCGGTTGACCAGGCAGAACGGTTGGTTTCCGGACCAAACCTCATGTTGTACTCCTTTTGTGTCCCACCGGTGGTAATCACCAGCTCCCCGTTGTATCTCCTTCTTCGGCATGTTACCATTCCTTCTGATCTGACACCAGTCTTTGCCTTTGTGGCTGCGAGAGCAGCGGAGGAGAGACGGGTTTGACTCATGGTCCATGAAACCGTACCGGGTATCGTACCGAAAAAGTCAGCGGTATGATATTTTATGATAAAACGGTGGTTTTAACGTAGTTGAACCGTTAGACCGTTAAATACCGCCTACCGATTTAGCCTCCGATACTGGTATTTCGTGGTTGAACCGTCGATACGGTATGGTTTCATGGACCATGGTTTGAATAGGAGGGTTAAGGCCTTGAGGATGACATATTTTTTTTATGAAACAAGTTTTTGAAGAGGCCCAAGGAGTGGTCATTTGAAATGGGCTGCGAATTTTGGTCTTCTTCAGTTCTTCTAGTCTAATGATCGCTGCTTTGGACTTTGGTACTTGGTAGCCGTCAAACTGAGTTTTTTTGTTGTTAAAATCCATTATCATGTTGGACTTTGTTTGATGAGGCCAGTTATGAGGCTTACTACCAAGTTGGGCTCGAACCCACTCATTCAAGTCATTATCAAGCTCAGCTCAAATTACCAAGTCAGTTGATGAGCAAAATAAAAATTCCAATTTGGAAATTAAAGCCCTGTTAAATTATCATATCGAAAGCATAAAGAAAATTGACACAAGATTTTCGGCCACTCAGACAGATTTTACTCTACGATGGCTAAGCGTTCTTCAGTTTTTATTATTCAATGATATATAGGCCCTAGTCAAGACTTTATAGTCCACGTTCAACACGCAACCCTAGCCACATAGTTATGCGCCAGATTACCAAATCAGACCATATAAAATACATCTTTACAATAAGCTCCAAATGCATACGTCAATATCCCCTCAAACTGATGGTGCTTAACGCAACATCAGTTTATGTGATAGGAACCAATGACGACTAGTAGAGACAACTTCGGCAAGATGCAGTCTGTTGATCTTCCGTCGTCAAATACAGCAAATGAAGCCAACCATAGGTAATAAGTTGACGAATGTAATGCACGTGAACTTCAATGTGTTTAGTATGCTCATGCATAACATGATTGGTGGTAATTTGAATTTGAATTGCACTAACATTGTCTCCAAATAGCAAAAGAGGAGATGGTCATGAGACACCAAGTTCGCCCAACAACCGATATAGCCAGACAAGTTCCGAACTAACCTCAGAAAAGAACCCAACTTCACAATCCATTCAGAAGTAGATCAATGGGTATCCAAACACCATGCAGAATCAACATCCACATAGGTAGAGATAGACATATCGAGTAGAGATGGGCAAAAACTCTGCTCAGTGAGTTGCATGTAGCGCTGGAAGTTTGGTAGGTATTTGGGATATACCGAATATCGTACCAAATTTATCATTATTTGGTATTATTGAATACCGGCTTAATTTTAGGGATTGGAATTGGGATTCAATTTGGAGTACTATTCGGGATTACATGATTGGGATCAGTATATAGCGAAATACCGAGAAAATACCAAAAATTAAAAATTAATGAAATATAGCACACAACCATTGGTCATTGCTCACTCTTTCACAACCTAGATCCCCAATCCAACTCAATTTTGATTTTTCATTTTAAGTAACTCTCGTCTCTCACCTAATCTCTTGTTATTTTTCATAACTCCTAAAAGAAAACTAGTATTAGTCATCTCCCAGCCTCCAATTAGTCAAATTAAAGATTACCAATGACAAGAATTCGAGATGTCACCTCTTCTATATTCTTCTTATTCATATCTTAGCTCTAGGCGAACTCAAGACTCTTTGCTTAGTCTCTTTGCCCTAAATTAAACAATCAAATCTAATTTATATATTTAATTATTAATTGTAAAGGTAATTAATTTCGTATTCGATAATACCGATTGAAATAACGAAGTACCGATTGGGATACCAAAATATTTAGCGAATGAGATTATGATACCAAAATTATTTAGGGATTATAATTGTGATTAATTTTAGAATGTATTTTGTCATTTGGTATTGGGATATAATACCATACCGATTTACTGAAAACCGATTTGGGACTTTATTTTAGGGATTTTGATTTTGAAAGTTGCAGACAGGAGAGACAAAGAAGAAAAGAATTACTGTGGGAAGAGACTTGACGAAAGACAGCTAGAGAGCTGATCGTCTTTCTCCTTAAGAAAGAAATGGGCTTGATTTTACAAATAGCCCAGCAAATAGAATAACAAATGAAGCAAACTTAACTAATTAAACGAAAATCCAAAGTGACTAATGGGCTAAAGCCCACAGCAAGCAGTCTTGCAGTGACAATGAAAACTCTTATTTCTCTCGTGGAGATGAAAAGCCACTAAAAGCATAGAAACGTTGAATAGAAACAGAGTAAGAGATGAGAAAACAGAGTAAGCAGAAAAATCACAACAGATCAGCAAGAAAATAAAAGTGACACATAGAATTTTTACTGAGGTTCCCAACTAGCGGTCAATCCTCCTCATAGAACCAGTACTCACTGATTCTAGGAGACTCTTTTTATTACAGTTTATAACCTATCAAGCAAACGGGAAAGAAAACGAATACAAGAACAATTGAACAAAAGAAATAGTGAAACCCAGACCCCAACTGTTTACACCTAAAATTATGTTGGGATAATTAAATGCCACATTAATTAATCTGGGCATTTAATTCGTTACTGCGGATAAAAAAACGGTGTCGTTTGGAGTTGAGCGGAATCGTGGAGAGTTAAAACGATACCGCGAAATAGAAGACGGTACCGCAAGGAAGCTCAGCGGTACCCCAACACAGGAAACGGCACCGTTCACTGAAAAACAAGATGGGGGCCGCGCGTTTTGGTATTGGTGTTGGAAAAGGAGTTTATTATTATTATTATTATTATTATTATTATTATTATTATTTTCCTTGTCGGAAGGGGAGAAGCGATACCGCATGGAGACAAGCGGCATCGCGGAGAATTAAAACGGTACCGCGGATGTAAAAATGATGACACGGGAGGCATTGATAAGCGGTGCCGATTAAATAAAAAAAATCATATCGGTTAAGTGAAGGGCCTAAATTCTGCCCAGCCCAATGCGAGTGCAAATTCTCGGCGGTTCAATGAATTGAGATTTTTTTGTTGTGTTAGCGGTGTCGTTTAATTAAAAAACGGTACGGCGAGTAAATTTAGATTAGGCTTGTGATTCTCTTGGAAGACATATGGATAAATTTTTTGAGATGATAGATGAACATGTTTCCGGTACTGCCAATAAGGATTCACTTAAACTTGTGGCCAAAATAGTGGCCTTAGGGGCCAACAAATCTCATGTTGGTTCTCCTGTGAATACTATTGTTTTGAAGGACAGGAAAGTTAGAGCAGTCTTGCGAAAGCCACAACAAAGAACAAAATGTAAACGTGTTCATAATAAGTTTCAGAAAATTAAGAAGAACAAGTGTGATATCTTGAAAGATGACAAATTTTACCACATTCTTCAATCTAAGCCTCTAGGGGGGCATGCCATCCCAACTCGTGGTAAATTGAAGGAGAAACAACATCGTCGGTGGCAAAGAAGTTTACCACACCCACCCTGCTCTAGGAAAAATCTAACAATGGGTTCCTCAAATACTCTTCGGTGTGGGGATGGTAACCACGTAGAAAAATCTAATGCCAAAAAAGTTGGCATGACTCAACAGGATCGTTCACGTAAATCATCCCCGAAGTTTTTATTGAGTGGACAGGGGGGCAAGTTCGGTCAAGCACGACAGGGAGTTGCAACACCAACACTTATGAGAAACAAGTCTGCCATGAGTGGCGGATTGGGGGGCAAGTACCATGGCCAACAAACTCCAGTCTCACGTAAGAGTTCAAAGATGCAAAGTTGTTGTGTGATAAGTGCAAAGATCATGGTCGTGGTAAACAAAATACCAACACACGTGTTGAGGGAGCTCGTAAGTCTCGGTGCTCAAACTCCCCACAACATTGTGAGAGGGTACCACTGACAAAACCGGACCAGTCTGAGCAGGCAATGCGGCATGGTCGGCTTGGAAAGACGAAGATGCCAAAAAATGTCAATGTCTTGCCGAGAGCAAAGAACACTAGTGATTTTTCATGCCATCGTCCAAAAGTGATGGCTGAGGGGAAGCCAAATCGAGCTCGTGGGATTCCGAACAAAGATGTTCGAGCTAGACGAGCTAAAAAGTTGAATTCCAACACCGACTTCAAACCTTCTCAGTTGTGTGTGAAGCCACCTGTGATGAGTCATGGTGTTCACAGATGGCTTGTTTGGTTTGATCAGTGGAGTTGGCAGTAGGTATGGACGTTTGGCAGGATGGTTTATGTCAAAACCGACCCTGTTTTGGTTTAGCTATTATTAAAATAAATAAAATATGGCTAAATTAGGCCATGTTATATGAAAAAAAGAGAAAATTAAAAATTATAAGAATATTATAAGAGTCATTACACAGAAGAAGCCATAACGTTGTTGGTAGTAGGGCAAGATGGTGTTGTTTGAGAGAAGAAATATTTTAGAATTGAAAACATGTTTGTTTCCACAGAGAAGAAGAAATGGCTAAACACGACCGTTTTACCCATGCGGTGAAATATGTATTTGGCCGAGAAAGAGTAGAATGAAATCGGGAATCGGCTAAACAATGTCGTTGGGTTAAAAGCGTGGTGCCCTGTGGTTGTTGCGGTCTCGTTTTATTTAGTAACACCGTTGTCGTATTTTCTGCGTGGAAGATGTGTTGAAGCCACATTACAACGGGTCTTGGCAGCGGCGTTGGCCGAAAGTGTGATTGGAAATCACAGTGTGAACGGAAAAATCGGATCTCTCGAGATCCAAACAACGCTGTTGCAGTGTGTAACAAAAAAAAACGCCGTTGTCGTTGTTTTGTTCTGCGTTATGGGTAACTATCAGCTGATAAGCTATTATGGTCATTAAAATACTAATAGAAAAAGGGAGGGCACCGTTAGGGAGTTGGAGTCGAAGTCAATTTGGCCAATTACTTGGCCGCAAGGTTGCCCCGGAGAAATAAAGAGGAAAGGAAGGAAGAGTTGCATTGCTGAGATTTAAAAGCCACGTTGGTGGTACATTTAATTTGGCCAACAAACAGTATTGCGGGCTGGTACAACAATGTTGGGTAGTAAATTGGCCAAGCACTGTCGTTTTGGCGCATGTGTTTTTTTTTTGGAGCGTGTGTTTTGGAAGAGTAGCAACGCTGCGAAGACATTTAGTTGTCTTGGTTTACTTTCTCAAAAGAGAAACCTCGTTGCTCTCAAGTGTGGCCAGATGGATTTTTCCTTTGAACGGAACAAAGGGCCCAAACAAAGAAAGTTAAAGCAGCTGTGCTTTTGCCTAGCAAGGCAACCTATGAGCCAATCTGTATGGCTAAAAATAAAAACTAACAAAGATGTGGCATGGTAAAACAATGTAATTTTCTAGCAACGTTGTTTTTGTCTTTGCCATATGGTTTGGAAATTATTTTAGGTGCTTTAGATTATGTCAACAACTTAGTTCATAAGAACTACTTCTTATAAACTAAGTTGTGGGGGGCATTGTTTACACCTAAAATTATGTTGGGATAATTAAATGCCTCATTAATTAATCTGGGCATTTAATTCGATACTGCGGATAAAAAAACGGTGTCGTTTGGAGTTGAGCGGAATCGTGGAGAGTTAAAACGATACCGCAAAATAGAAGACGGTACCGCAAGGAAGCTCAGCGGTACCGCAACACTAGAAACGACATCGTTCACCAGAAAACAAGACGGGGGCCGCGCGTTTTGGTATTGGTGTTGGAAAAGGAGTTTATTATTATTATTATTATTATTATTATTATTATTATTATTATTATTTTCCTTGTTGGAAGGAGAGAAGCGATACCGCATGGAGACAAGCGGCATCGTGGAGAATTAAAACGGTACCGCTGATGTAAAAACGATGCCAAGGGAGGCCTTGATAAGCGGTGCCGATTAAATAAAAAAAATCATATCGGGTAAGTAAAGGGCCTAAATTCTGCCCAGCCCAATGCGAGTGCAAATTCTCGGCGGTTCAATGAATTGGAATTTTTTGGCTGTATTAGCGGTGTCATTTAATTAAAAACGGTACGGCGAGTAAGCCCAACGGTACCGCTGTATTAGCAAACGACAGTGTTTAATATAAAACAATGTCGTGGAGTAAAAAAGCAAACTGAGATGTTTGGGGGAGAAAACGACATCGCGTGAGATTCACACCAACCCGAGCGAGGAGGAGATCAAGACGGTTGAGACACGTGGGAGTTCACAACGGAGCAGTTGAGGAAGCGGTTCCACCTAGCGTGAAGACTACGAAGCGGTTTTTTGAATAAAAGCAGTGGAGCAAGGAGAAAGAAAGGGACAACCAAATCAACACAGAAACACATCTGTCAAACTTTACCTTTTTTCTCTGTAACTCCTTCGCAGTAGTGATGGCAATTTCAACCCGTCCCGCGGGTAT